TGATTCGATCAAACCTCTGTATGTGTGTTTGTGTGTATAAGAAGGAAACATCACATTCCCACCAGCCCTGATATACAGTAATTCTCTGAGGTTGCATTGAATCTCTCTCTCTCTTTCATACACACACAAACACACAGAGAGGCTTGATCAGATCGCACTTGGCCTCCGCCTGCTGCTGGTGCCTCCTAGCATGTTTTGGAAGGGAGTTAAAAATAAATCCAGCACGCTCTCGCTGCCGCCGTGCAAACCCTAGCACGGGTAACAGCAGCTGCGCCTTCTCCCTTCTGAAATCCGCCAGGATGTAATCTGAATAACGCCGGTGGAAGTGAAATGCTTCCCAAAAGTGGGGCAACAAACGGGAAGGGCGCCAGGACTCGCAGCACTTTGTTTTGATTTAGGCACCGCTATTGACATGGAAGGAGTGGCATTTGCATGTCATGTCTCCTGAGAGACCTCACAAAGAGGCAGTCAAACCCCTCATCTTCAGCTGTGTGGCTTCTCTGCCCTCCTCTTTCTTCTCTGCTTGAGCCCAGCCTAGCCCCCATCTCCCTCCAAGGAGGGAGGCCAGGTTCAAAGGGGATGGGAGGGATCGCAGCCCATGTACTCTTCGCCTCCACCATTGAACCTCGTCCTCCAGCTCCACAAGCAAAGGCAGATGGTGGGATGAATCATGTGTCTCTACCCGACACCTCTACCTCTGCCTGCTGCTTGGAGGGACTGGATTGTATGGGCTGCAGTTGCTTCTGGACACCATTGGGGGGCTGTGCACACTCACCACTTCCTGTGCCGGCAATGCCCATACTGATCCCCCACTGATGCTCTGAACTAGGGCTTATATTGCAAGCAGCATGAAAAACCATGCTAGGGCTTATTTTTGGGGTAGGTCTTCTTTTTGGGGAAAATATGGTACATACATCCACACATCAATATTTTTCACAATATTATAAAAAGAGTTTCCTTCTCTACCTGGCCTCATAGTCATTACGGATTAGCAGGAAATGCTGCAATATTGAGAGGAAATGTTGTTCTGCCTTAGAATCCTTTACTGTATTCAGGAGAATCTGGAAGATTTCGTTGAAATCAGTAAAAAAAATTAAGGAATCAAAAGTGATTCAAAAGAATTACAGATGCACAGCACTAATTCATAAAAGAGGCCTAGTTTATCTAGTTAAAACCTGATTTCTGTATTTGTGCTAAAGGAATTAATATAAATCCAATAAATCACTTTTACCAATAAATGTTTAATTTAAAGCATTTACACATCAAATTTCAAATAGAATGTTCAAACTGGCTTACTATTAATAAAATATAGTTGCAGTCTTCAATTTTAGAATTTAAAAAAAGTGTATCAGAAAATTAAAACAAAATGGGTAAGGAAAACAAAAGCATTGTTACTAAGAGGTTATATTATATCTATAATACTACTCCAAAACTACTACTCTCTGGGGAGGAACAGTTCAGAGATGAGCAACTGAAGACGTGTGATCACTCAGCGCTCTTTCTCTGCTTCAGTATAACTAAAGAGTTCCCACGAATATCTTCAAGTATTATGCCACATTTTCTATTACTGGAAGCTTAAAAGTATTTGTGCGCTCGTGTAAGTATGTATATGTACATATGTACACACACACCCACAATACACACACACACACACCTACTTTGAGAACCCTTATCAAGTTCAGGGACTAACTAGTCTGAGCAGTCACGAGGAGTCAGCCCTGACATAAGATATAACATGATGTGTCAGTGCTGACTCCTCGTT